CTCCAGCAAAAGGAAACCTTTCCTCAGTTCCCTCTTCCCCAGTGAACAGCCCTGCAACAGTCATGCTGATTTATTAAAGGCAAATAGGCTGTTTTCACTTTGCAAGGGAATTTTCCCCAGAGATTAATAAATGAGGTGAAGCTATGTGAAATCCATCATCCAATCATATGCAAGTTAAAATTATGTTGTTTTTTTTTTATTTCAATGCACGATTGGGTATTTTTTGTAAAGTGACATTTCACCGCATTAACTAATCTCTGGGAAAATTCCCTTGCAAACTGAACAGCCTATTTGCCTTTAGTAAATCAACCCCTTTGCATCAAAAGATGAGAGTAGGGGTTGATCTGTGTCAGACATTAGTGATAATAGCCAAGAACTGCACTGAATAATGCCTTAAAGTAGTAGTAAACCCAAAAGCAAACATGTAATATATTCAGCTTACCAATTCTTAAGATGTTAAGGCTGCATTAGTTTTCTTTTTTAGGCTGTCTTTCTTCTGTTTTCATCTAGTGATCCAGCCAGTAAGTCTGCTATTTTTCAGCAAAAAAGTTATCCTGCAGCTACAGGGATGAGACAGACCAAACTGCACAAACTGGCAGGGTGTTTAAAATGGTCAGCTTTTATGTATTTATGTAAACCCTGTATACTAAAATTGAAAAAAACTGTTTGCTGTAACTGATTATGAAGTATTAACTGGAGTGTAGCTCCAATTTGTTATTGTAATTAAATCTGCTATACTTCTAACACTCCCCCCAGACTGACAATATTGATGTCCAAATCTTCCTCCTGTGCTCCTTCATGCAGAGTGGTGCTGTATAATGCAGGAGGTGTGTTACTGGCTATATCACCATGTGAATACAGAGGGAAAAATGTCTAAAAAAAAAAAACTAATGCAGCCGCCACCACATCTAAGGATTGGTAAGTTGCAATGTATTACGTTTTTTCGTTTTTGGTTTTAGGTTTAATTCTGCTTTAACAAAAATCATATTGAATAGCAAATAAAGGCATTTATAGAAAGAGTACTATAATCTCTAAAAGGTAATGTTTATGTATTTGTTACATTGACATGTTACTTAGCATCCATGAAATTCACATAAAAAAGAAATATAATGATAGTTCCAATTTAAGTCTTGGATGTAGTAAGTGTCTGAATGGAAATAGTGTCTTTGACATTAGCAGCAGTTAAACTTAATACTACTTTTTAATGTCTTGCATTAGAAAAATGGCTGGTTGTTGGTTGTTATGATCAACACATCTTCCTTTATATCTATGAACATAAAGTGTTACTAAACCCCGGACCCTACATCCACGATATCTGGTCTCCCACAGTACACAGAATGTGAAAGTGCAATTATTTCAGGAAATATAAACTGCTAAATACCTTTTCTCATCAGACATTAGAGCAGTCTTTTTGGCTTCAGTATTCAGCCAAGCACTAGCTAAAGTTTGTAGTAGGAGTTTTTTTCTTTCTGCTCTAGGAAGATGTAAAACCACTCACCTGTCTGGACAGTGCTGATTGGCCATGTGCTGTTTACATGTACTCTCCCAAGAAAAAAAAAAAAAAAACTCTCTAGCAATACTCACCAAACTGAGTGCATGCAAAATGCCTATGGTTCCGTCTGTCTCATCAGGAGATAAGAGGTGGTCTCTTGAAAAAGGGAGGAACAGAGAAGAAAGAATCAATGGCCTTTTTACACAATGCAGAGGATTAACACCTTAGGCTCCACAATGAGTATAACAAGCAGGGGCGGACTGACAACTCATGGGGCCCCCGGGAAATAGGGGATCATGGGCCCCTGTGTCCTTACCCAAACTCAAAAAAGCCTATGAAAAAGGTACCAGGGGCATCTCATGGGGCCCCCTACTGACCCCAAGCCCTGAGGCAGTGCCCGAGTTTCCAAATGGTCAGTCCACCCCTGATAACAAGCATGCTTTATTGCAAATACAGGCTGATTTTACTGTTGTGGGTTTAGTAACACTTTAAAACACAATGTATTCAAGTTAAAAGACTGGTGATTTTGCCCTATATTGGCAAAGCATAGGTTGAATTTAAAGTCCATGTAAACTGTAAACATCAACTTCTTTTATTTGTTCAATTTTGTTCTGTTATATTTACTACTGAAGGGATCACCAGGTAAACAAAAATCGAAAAAAAAAAAAGACAACCAATGCAGCCATCCTATACATACCAGTTTTTAGTTTACATTTTTCCAACTGGCACTTTAGTCAAACAGTTGAATACATGGGGAAACAGATATACTGCATCTCTGACTAATACATACAGGGGTCTATTTGTAAAAAAAAAGGCCTAGATGTTCAGCCACCATCAATTACCTCAATCACAAAGTACGTTAATGAGGAAAATACCACATCATGTGCACAAGATTAAGCAAAACACCGTCAGAAATTATGATGACTGGGAGAATGCTTTTGGCATTTGTTCAATGATTTGTTCAATAATAGACATGCTTTAACCCCGGTTCACATATATGCTGTGTGGGAAACACAGCAAAACCTGACCGTTATCCACACCGCATTGAAATCACACTCTTGCATGCGATCTGCCACCAGTTTCAATGTTAAAGTATTAACACACCGAAACAGGGAGCAAAACTCAGTGCGATTGCAAGAATCTGTCGCATAAGTGTTCATATCCATGCGACCTGATTCTGATGCAACAAAAAAAAAGATGCCTGTATCTTTTTCATGCAGGTGCAGTACAAATTGAGTCCATACAAAATGAATGGGCACTGCAAACATGTTACTTTAATAGGAATGTGGTTGGATTCCTGTCCACATCACATGCAATTTCCCATACTGCTAGTGTAGTTGCTCCAACATTACATCATCCCACTTGAGCTATCCTAGCTCAACTTCCCTAATAATTGTCAAGGATGAGAAGGTACTTGTTCCTGTGTGTAATTCTCAGTACAGCTGTAATTCTAAGGCCAATAGGAATTCTAAATACAGCAACACATAAAGAACTCCTCTCTTGATCATTGGTAGGTCCCTGATTTAAAATCTGAGCAGTTTCCCAATTAATCACTTAACCTGCAGCTCCATCTGCAGTTGAAGCAGGATATTTTGATGCAACTTAAAATTCATTAAAATTCATTCCCTTGAGAAAACATTGTCAATGTGTAGTCAATCTTTAGTTTACCAATTACTAAAATTAGATTTGTGGGCAGACTTAAATCAAATCAATGACAGGCAGCTGGCTGCATGGTCCTGATCTTCAAGTGCGTCCTGGAGTATACATCCGTGTGAGTCCAATGCATAGATCAGATTGTAATCTTTCAGCATTCTGATCCATGCATCAGATGTACAGTCAGGGATGTCCTTGGAGATCCATGCAGGTCCACAGGGCTGCTGTTAGAAACCGCAGGGCCCTAAAAAGCCAACCTGACAGGGCCCCCTTAAAAAAAAAAAAAAAAATACAGTTTACTATGCTGCAGTTATAAATGAACACAGTCGGTGATCAGTACCGATATGTTCATTCAGGAAAGGAAGGGGCTGGTTAATGTGATATATTTATCAGGCTCTTCCCCCACTCTCCATCCTGAAGGATTCTATTGTGTGCTTGCAGCTGCTGGAGGGAAGGAGGAGAGGAGGGAAGCCGGCACTGTGGGGGCCCAGGCATCTGGGTGAATCAGATGTGCACAGGGAAGATAATCGTCAATCAATCCTCTATATGGCTCTCGAGAGGGAGAGAAGAAGAATCCAGCCTTCAGATGCTGCAGAGAGAGCCATACAGGGCATTGGTTCCATTTAATGCCCCCCACCATGCTGATCACCCTCCCTGCCCACATCCAATTCACCCAGCTTCCTGGGCCCCCCTGCTGGCCTGGGCCCCATACAGGAGAACTAGTGGTATCCCCTTATCCACGGCCCTGCAGGTCCATGCAACTGATCTCCTTTCATTTGAACAGGATGGCTGCACACACACCTGCACATACCACGTGTTTGGAGGTGTGGCATTTGACGGAACAAAATTGGTGTTCAGTTATGTCGAACCTCCAGTGGCAGCAGGAAGTGAAACATTTTGAAGCAGTATTGCTAACACTGATAAATGTGACAGCTTCCCCTCTGGATGATTATCAGGAGGCCGGCAACGGTTGGGCTTCCTAACAGCCATAAGCAATCCCCATTAGACCCATTCAGCCTAGAAATTAAACTAAGGAATTGCGAAAACAAAAATCATTTGTGGTCCGCATACTAGATCCTTTAAGTCTGGTATACGATAGATTTTAAAGGGGAACGCCCCAAGAAACAAACGTGTGTGATCCCTTCTGTCAAAGAACCTTGTCCTCATGTTGATGAGCACAGTGGTTGTAGGGATCTTCAGGTGGAGGACTTATTGAAACCTGGAATCTCCCTTTAACACAAAGGGGAGCCCCAGATACTGTTACCACAATTTCTCATTCACAAAAAAGGGTACACAGTATATAAATGGACTGATACTTTTTTTTCTACCAAGTCCTTTAGTAAAAGAAAAGTCCCACATTGTAAATCCATTGTCAACAATGTCCTCCAATGATGCAGATCCATGTGAGTCATGATGAATGATGCCTGATGCCCACCAAAAAAAAATCCTGCCACCCACTGACATGATGTGCTCTTGCCACTTACTTTTGCTGAATGACATCTTGACAACTGAATGACCTGCTGCTAAGAGTAAACAAAGGTGTCTTCTGGGGGACATCATTGACCAAATATGGACATTGGCTGCAATGAGATTTGAATTTGGCACCCTAACTTTTCTATTGTTCACCGGACCTACCTTGAACTGAACCCAGGTATGTTTGTCTCATCTCTTGTGTACCAGATTAACAAAACGCATAAACCACAAAAAATTTTAAAAATCTAATTTTGTCATAAATTTAGGCCAAAATGTATTCTGCTACATGTCTTTGCTAAAACAAAAACCCAATACATGTAAATTAATTGGTTTTCTGAAAGTTATAGTGTTTACAAATGAGGTATGTATACTGGGATTTTATTTTTTTTTTACTAATAATCAGTGACTTATAGCAGGACTGTGGGACTGCGGCAGGCATTCTGACACTGGGGGGAACTGACTTGGTGTCACTGACATCCCCAGTGACACCAATACTGTGCTCAGTGCTAATAAAAAACCACTGACACTGTACTAATGGCACTGAGCAGGGATGAGTTAACATGAGGGGCGATCAAAGGGTTAACAGTGTGCTGTGTGCTGTTTTACTTGGAGCTGTATCTATGTGCTTCACTGTAAGCACACTGCTTTGAATGACTGCGCTGTGCACAGCCATGCAAAGCAGTGTGCAGGAGCTGACAGGTGAGAGAACTGTTTTGTTTACTAACAGATCTCCCCCCTGTAGGAGATGCTCGGCAGTAATTACTGGCAGGGACCCAGTGATTGATAGCTGCAGCCACCATTTTTCCCCCCTACCCGGAAATGCAAAATCACATATATATATGTGATTTTGTGCACCTGTGCAGGCCTGTAGCTGTATATCTGCTATAGGGCAGTCCTGAAGCAGTTAACAGAGACTACACAACATAATATTATTGGCCATGACAACAGTAGATGGGGAGAGGAAAGGAGCTTACTGTGGTAGCTGAAGCTGAATGGCCCCGGATGAGCTTCTTCACCCCTTTATGGAGTCTAAAGCCAGCCATGAGGACATCCACTAGGCAAAACCATTGCGCCACAAAAGACTTGACAGTTGGATCCACAGAACAACAAAGAGAAGAGAGAGGAGGGAACAAGCAAACATACAAACCAAAAAATATTTTTTCCTGCTACATGCATTTGAAAAGGGGCAACTCAAATGATGTTGCCTCTTTTGCCATTCCCCTAAAAGCAAGCCAGGACTCGTGTTTCTTTCAAAAAGGTTTTTTTTTCTGTACAGAATTTGGAGGAAAAATCATTCTAATGTATAGGTTCCCTCGTAATATTTTTGCACAGAATATAACTTTTAATATTCATTCTGAAAGGCAAGTAATGTTAACAGTATGCAGGTCCTGTGAAACTTTAACAAATTAATTTAAAATCTAATTATAGCCCTCAGTAATATCTTGTGTAATAATGAAGTGTAATTTAGGGTTCCACATATTACCTTTTGTATTAAGCATCAAAAGATTTCCAGTTAGATCTATTGCTATCATATTTAAAAAAATTGTTAAACAGGTAATTTGATGTTGTCACAGAAAAATGAGTCTTTTTTTAAGTTTAGTGGGAGATTTTACAAAAATGTATAAAAGATTCAAGAAATAATGAAGTCACATCTCACTTGCTTGAAATAAGAAGAGATCCCCCTGACAAATTATGTAAAAATAGATAAACTGTGTAAAATAAAATTGTATTTCGGACATATCAGGTACTTACTGTCATCTCCCTGCTTTTGGTTACATGCCTTCCTACACTTGCACAAGTTGCCTTTATTTTTCAGGTATGTTCTTACACATGTGCACAATCCTGAACCATAGCATTTATTTGCATAAGGACACGCGCTGATTGATCAGTACTGTTTGGGCCTATTGAAAAGAATGTTTTATTGTAACAGTTGCTCATTAGGGGGCATCTATTTTGAGGGGGGTATCAGAATGCCTTTGCTACTAGTTTCTGACTTGATTTTTTGGTTCTCTGATCCTTTACAGCCTACTCTAACCTTTCGTAAGATCAGTGGATACGATACTCAAGCTCTACTGCTTAATTAGGAGATCTGTGGCTGGGTTGTGCAGTCCCTGTACACCTGGATCTTAGCAAATATTAGCCAGCATCTTGGTAAACTTCAAAATAAGAATTATTTGTTGGCTACATGTAGAAAACACAGTGAATACTGCTAATATGTTTTGTCTGTTATGGCCTTACCTATAGCTATTAGTAAGGCTATAATGGCCAAAAAGCTTTAGCTGCATTCACTGTTTTCTACTGTTTTCTACATATAGCCAATAATTCTGGGGCTTAACAAGTTGCCAGCTAAATATTGCAACAATCTGGCCTTTTCTATGTTTGACTGTGCTCCTGGTTTCTTGCTCCTGACTCCTGGTTCCTGGCTTTGTGATCAATGGTCTGGGCCCAGTCAGCCTGTTTCAGACTACTTGCCCACTTTCCCCTGTTGTACAGCCTTTAGGTCCAGGCTAACCATTTGAATACCTGTGCAGTCAGGCTTTTGGTCACTTCAGATCAGGGGCGGACTGACAACTCATGGGGCCCCCGGGAAATAGGGGATCATGGGGCCCCTGTGTCTTTGCCCAACCTCAAAAAAGCCTAGGAAAAAGGTACCAGGGGCATCTCATAGGGCCCCCTACTGACCCCGGGCCCTCGGGCGGTGCCCGAGTTTCCAAATGGTCAGTCTGCCCCTGTTTCAGATGTATTATGGATTACCATACAAATCTATGAGAATGAAAAATCCACATAAAGCAGGTTAAATGCAGGTAGGAATGGGGTCAGCTGTGATTAAATGCACCTTTTATGGAATTCTGGCACACAAATCCTGAAGGGACCTATACCAGTGTATACATACAGTATAAAGTGTCCTTCAAAAGTGGCAGGTGAAGTGCATCATACAGAGTTTGCACTGCCAGAGCCAGTCTTCTCCCTAAAATATAGGATATGTATAAATTACTTGCATTTCCGTCCATCCAGTTCTGAGATTTACACAGCTCTGACACACAAAAACAGCCTTGTCTGGTATGAGAGGTGTCATAATTTTTCGATACTGCTATTTAATAACATTTGCAAGTCTTGTCCTTCTCCCTGGCTGTGACTTTACAGTAAAAGTAGAAACAGCAAACTGATGGCAGTTTTCTGCACCATAAATGGGGTTTAAAATTCTCCCAATCATTTGCATCATTTTGGTGGGAATGGGTCTGATCCTTTTTCAGTTTTAAGTGATAGAAGTAAGAACTGCTGCAATGTAATTTTATGACCTTTAAGTCCAGGAAAAAAGCATTGAAGAGGCGTTGGGACTTTGATGCAAGTTCAGAAAAAGTAGTGAGACCAAAAACATTCACTAGCTTAGGTTAGGCTGCTCACAACAGACTGGGCTACCCTCCAGTGGATACCCCAGCAGGTTACCAACAAAAAAACCTGAAGTAATGGTAGGAGCACCAGACAAAAGGATACAATTTAATCTTAGATACATTTTTACTAAAAAAAAACAGCCAATGCGTTCCGGGGTCAGAAAAAACTCCCCTTTCATCAGGGCTTCAGCTAAAATAAGACCCTTAAATGGACTTAAAATTGAGTCTTCTTGGTGGATCAGTGTTGGAAAGCTAATTGCTGGATCAGGAGAGTTGCTGGCCAGTATTTTCTACACAAGTAATCAATATCTTGACTGCTTGTGTAGAATTTGCTGGTCAGTAACCCTATGGTCTGTGATGGAACGCAGCATCCAACCCCAGCCCTTCTCACCAACTCGTGACCGAAGGACCAGCCTCTCTCACACTGCGCTGTCACTTGTGTAACAATGCCAATCTCAGCTGCGCCCTGCTTCAAAGATTTTCCAGCTCGCGGGACAACAATCTATGTGCCAGCATCCTGAAAGCGATTGTTACTGGGTCAGGTTAATTACACCATTAACCCTTCATACTGCCACCACCATCTTTTTACAGAGAAGGAGGAAACTCACAAATCTTAGCAGTAACACTATGATATTGGTATAAGCGTCTGTAATACACACTGTCACCACAGACAGATATATTCAGAGGATTATTACATACAGTAGCACTCTTCAAGAGACAGGGATTCTTTAGTTTGCATTAAAAACTTTAGAGATAGTTCAACACTTTTCAGAAAATAGGATTTATTACTAAAATGGTCAAAATGGTGCAATTAAAATATTTACAGAAAAAGATGTAACAAAGATATAAATAGAGCAAATAAAACAACAGAGAAATAAAAGAAAGGAGTTCAGAAGGTAGAATACTTGCAAAAGTCCTTGGTTTGAGCAGAATCCAATTCTCCGAACAAAAGGTTGCCTTGGCTCTCAAGTCTCTTAGATGTTCCTGATCGATGTTAAAGGAGAGCTTTCTTTCTCCAGGCTCTGAGTCTTTTTCTATCATCTCAAAGGGGTGTCTCCTAAGAATAAATGACCAAGGATCCAGTTTGGGGATGGGTGTTAGGCAGTATGACCAAATCCCTTACAATTTCATACTAAGGTCAATAACCTTCAATAGGTAGCATCCTAGCAACTGGCAGATTAATATTTAGAATTATATTCCAAACGCAAAGATACCAAACATAGCGTACCCTTGTCAGCCAGGATAAAAGAGACTGCTTTCTTCTCTCTTGTAGGTACTAATATAGTGATATAAGGTCTTGTGTGACTCATATTAAAATTATCTATCCGAATATATACTTCATATTAATGTGCCCAGTTTCTGCTGAAGTTTATGAATTGTATGAAAAATGACTCGTATGGAATGTACGTTTTATGGCACACTCTAGCTCTAATGGCCTAACAGGTCATGACTGACTGAGTTATTGTTTTACAATCGGGCAGAGGAAAGTGATTTTCAAGCAGACCCCCTGGAGCCAGACTGATTAGCAGTTTACAGCCCTGAAGCTCATCTAGCTGTGTTTTATTTAGAATAAGTGGCCCTTTTGACCTCCGTTCCCTTACAGACTCACATTCCATTCAAAAGGGAGGAGGGAGGACAGTAGAGAACATGGATGAGACCTAACAAGATGGCTGTCATGTACTGAGTCCATGCCTCTATTGCACACAATCGTCACATGGTCTTTATCTCACTGCCAGGTGATCATAAGTGGGAGATACCATAATACTTCAATGAAGGAGGTGTTTTTTTGATTTCAAAGACTGTAGCGGGTCTTTTGCTTATCACAAGTACTGCAAACATCCTATGAATTATATTTCAGTCATTATAAAAAGCGTATCCACATTTACAGTAAGTCTATACCCTAGGTAAAATAACTTTTACTTTCTTTTCCCTCATCATTTAGAAAATAGTTGACAGTATTGCAGTTTAAATTTATTATTTGTCTTCATGTAAGGAAATGCTGTCATATTTGCAGCTGAATGTAAGAACAGGATGTTGGATATAGATTGTACTGTCAGAATATCACTTTTCAAAGTATGCTTTCAATACTATTTATAACTCAAATAATAGAGCTTTATTCATCACATTAAGACTAGACATTACTCCTCCATAATAATAAGGGGTTTACAGAAAATGTATTTCCCTTTTTAAAAAGACATTGGTTTCTGCAGTAATGTTTATGTGTAGGTTACATATAGTACAACAACAATGGCCAGCCACTTGCAGGGAGCATTATATTATTAATTATTCTCTATTGCTAACCTATATATATATGTATGTATATGTATATATATACATATAGTGGCAGTGCGGTATCCTGCCGCGGTGAAAATCTCGGTTATAACCCAGGATTCTCAACTATACAGGTTGAGGGGCTCCAGGCAGTTCTCTTAATGCAG